GCCGTAGCGGTATCTCCAGCGCAGCAGGTATGTAGTAACCCAATCTTGTATCGCTCAACCTTTCTCTCCTCTCTCTCTCTCTCTCTCTCTCTCTCTCTCTCTCTCTCTCTCTCGGTCTTCTTCTTCGTCGTGGTCTTCTCTGCAGGTGCGCGGCGGCTTCTCCAACCTCCAGGTCCGCTATGGCGGACTTCTTCTCTTGGCGGCCACCTCAGCTATGGCGCATCACTCCCTGCACACGACGGCGCGCATGGAATAGCGGGTACCGGCTCTGATACGAATGCAATCAGACTTGCTTTCATTCACACTTTACATGTATGCAAACAGGCGCACAGCAAACTGGCAACAAGCGCCCACTCAGAACTCAGAGATATGGTCGCCGGAAACACAGTCCAGATACAAGTTCACTTTCGATGGCTATGGCGACTCAGCGCCAAACTCTCTGTTCGCATACACCGGATCACCCTGGATATCCCACAAGTGATACTCTGCACTCACACATACACACACACACTACACACTAACTCTAGCTATGGCGGCTATGGCCGCAACTACCCTATCGCTATGCTACGCTCCTTCTCTCTCGCCCACTTCGGCCCCGGGCTCACTGGGGACCTCCTTGCACAAGCCGCTGTGGCAGCGCTTCCGCATGGCTCACGCAGGAATGAATGAATGGCTGGGCGCTGCCTCTTGATTTATACGTCTGGAGCTCGTTGGTCTGCCCCTTTCCATCGGGCCATGGTGCACACAGTCCCTCATGGTACTTGCTGGACCGGACTGGGACTGGCTGGACCTTACCGCTGACTGCTTCGGGACTCACTGCTATCTTACTGAGGTCGTACTGCAATCGCTCTGCAGTTAGTCCACCACTTGACTCACCAGTTGCCCCCAGGCTGACCTTCTAGAAGGCTACAGCTAAGACTTCTAGACTTCACCAAGACTTCTATTCGACAGACCTACAGATCGAACCCATACGACCTACGGACCTATGACAGCCTACCCGTTGCTTAGTAGTACACAGGTCTCGGGTTCAACTCTCGGGGTCTACACAGGTACTGTACACGGTGGGGTAAGGACTAGGGATCGAGCCCTGGGATCTGCATCTGCTACTGCAAAAGGTGAAAACCGTTTCAAAGGGATCTGCCGAAAAGTTTGTGGCTGAGTGTCAAGTCTGTCAACGAATCAAACAGTCCAGACAGAAGCCCATGTGGCTACTTACACAGCTTCCCATTCCCAATGTTCTCGGGGAGTCCGTCTCTATCGACTTCATCGACAAGGGGAAGGTAAGTAAGAATGGCTATTCGCAAGTGATGGTGATTGTTGATTGTTTTTCTAAATTCCTGATTCTGATTCCCTTGCCATTGCATGCCCCAATTGAAGTTGTGATCCGTGAGTTCGAACAGAAGTATATTCTGCTGTTCGGAACCCCGAAAACTCTTGTGAGTGATCAGGACCCGCACTTCATAAGTACTGAATGTAAGGACTTCGCACCCTAACTCCCTGGCCTCCAACTATGTATGACATCTGGCCGTCATCCCGAAGCCAACGGTTTGGTGGAGGAGATCAACCAGACTGTGTTCCAACTTCTTCGTGCTTTAATCATTCCGGATCAGGAAACATGGGATGAAGAGCTGTATTCGGTCAAGGGGTTGTACAGCAACTCCATCCATTCTTCCACCGGCATGATGCCAAACAGGCTGCATTACGGTTGGCAGATTCGCAATCCGCTCTCCTACTTATTTCCTGAACAGCCAGCTGGTTTAACACCCGGTAGGCCTGGCTTCAGTGCGAAGTACAAGAAGCGCCAACCGTCGGATATGAAAGTGGGAAGTTATGTATGGGTCAAGATGTCTGAATTCTCTGAAGAAGAGGGAGTGTCATGCAAACTCTCCCGCTCTATTACGGTCCGTGGGAAGTTCTAAACGTGATTGGCAAGGATGGGTTCGCCCCCTCATATACAGTTGCTGTGCCTCCTCGTCTGCGCACATACCCAGTCTTGCAGGCATCTAAACTGTATATACATCGTGATGCTAAGTCCTTCGATTATTGTGAGGACATGATTCCTCGTGCAATCAATGGCGGTCACGAGATGGATAGAATCAAACAGCACGTAGGGAAGGGACGTAACAGACAGTACCAGGCTCACTTTATGTATCACCCATTGGATGATCTCTACTGGATCTCCAAGAAAGAACTGCTGCGCGGCGCACCTCGCGTTGTTAAAGCCTACGGGCGACAAATCGCCTCTAATGCTGTACCTAAAATCTCTGCCAAGATCACTGCTACGGAGTACTCTCGAAATCTATTTGCTTTGTTTGCTTACGATGTGTTTGTTGGGGACTCATAGTGAGTTACTCGCTCGAAGGGACCTCACTCTTAAGGGGGGGGGTTAGTGTAATGACCTGACTGAACACGAACTGAGACCCGCAGCTGATTTCTGAGCTTTGCTCATGGACTGAATGCCTTGCTGAGTTTCACGCTTGCCACTGAGTTCTCTGAGTCTGTGTGTGTGCAAACTTGCTGGTCTGCATGTCTGTCTGAGTGCTAGTCGGCTTGAGTGTGTGTGCGACCCGCAAGGGCACTTGTTCGTTCATTGGGCCCGAAGGGCCGGTACTTACCTGTGGCCGTGACATTGAGGATTGCAGCGGGAAAACTCTCAAGTGGCGGGGAAAGAGGCCCGCAACACTTGAAGCAGCGGGGAAACACTCAAGTAGCAGGTAGGCCGGTACCACACCATTTAGAGGTAGATGTGCCGGGTAGGCCGAGCAGAAGAAGACAAAACTTGGCATTTTTAGAGGTCCAGTAGTTGTAGGCTAGGTCTAGGCGGGTACCAGTCCAGCCAGTCAGTCTACGGCCTGTACGGGCAATATCAGAGTCTGCAATGATGTTTCCCTCCAAAATGGAGGAGGTACCCGTTGCTTGGAAGGCCGAGCAGCCTGGAAGTCACCGCCCAAGAGGCAAGTAAGCTGCTATATCTCCAGGCCGGGCGAAGAGCCCAGCCTCATTGTCCGTGTGCAAGTTTGGCGACACACTGGTTGGAGCGCTGGCTGGAGCAAGGAGCAGGACTGCTGGGGAAGGAGCAAGGACACGGAGGAGGAAGAAGACCAGGACGGGGGGGAGCGCTGGAGGTACTTCCTGGCTCTGGTGGCAGCCATCTTCATCACCTTGGTGGGCGCTGCAGCAGGAAGACCCCAGTGGGGGAGAGCTACACCAAGAAGGTTCGAGGCAGAGTCAGGCATAGCTGCTTTGGGTTGTCCTTTGGACATCAGGGCCAGGCCCTAGTAGTCCGCCATAGCCTCGGCCTTGGACGGAGGAGGAAGAAGGGTGGCCATGGCTATGGTGGACCTACATGATACCTGCAGTAGAAGAGGGATTCGGATATTGATTCTGCTTCAGCCATTCAACATTATTATTATTATTTCTTGTGTGAACAAGAGAGGAGGAGATAAGGAGGAGGAGAGTGGTTGGTGAAGAAGAAGAGCATTATCATTTGTCTATGCTGGTGTACATCATCTTCTTCTTTGTTTCTTTCTTCTTCTTCTTCTTCTTACTCTCTCTCTCCTCTCAAGTTCATTCATATCTCTTTGCAATTGGACGACATTGTACTTCCTGATGAATGTGTACTTCGAAATTGGCCAGTATTATAACAGTAAAAGGGATTGAGAAGGGTGGCATTTGCATCTGTGGACTGATTGGCAATTTGGTGTATGACGCTTATGCAGGGGTGTGTGCCAGTTTTCCTGGATGAAGAGACGGTGGATCAATACTACAATGGCTACTGCAATAATGTGCTGTGGCCGCTGTTCCACTACATAGGTGTAACTTATCCAATGGAGGACAAGCTGGCGTCGACACGAAGCCTTCAAGCACAGTGGCTGGCTTACCAGTTTGCCAATCGCCAGTTTGCGAACGTCGTACTGAACGAGTACAGGGAGGGGGATACCGTGTGGTGCCATGACTACCATCTCATGTTGCTCCCCTCTATGCTGAAGGAGAAAAGTGAGCGGATGAAAGTGGGGTGGTTCTTGCACACACCATTCCCGTCCTCTGAGATTTACAGGACGCTGCCGCTACGGAGGGAGATTCTCACAGGCGTGTTGAGCTCTGATCTAATTGGGTAAGAGTTTTAAACCCAGTCGAAGCAAAACTCTCGTTGCATCATAAATTTCGCTACTGTACTTGTTTGCATCTCTCACGCTTGTGTTTGACACCACGCTGCCCCTACTGAGGGAGGTTCTCACTGGCGCATTGAGCTCAGATCTCATCGGGTAAGAGTTACAACATAGTTGGAAAGAAAACTCTTGCCCCTACGCATTGTAAGTTTGTTCCTATACTTGTTTACATTTTACACTGAAGTTTGACACCAAACAACCGTTTACGTGTACATCTCACGCGTGTGGTTGGTGTCAAACCTGGTCAAAGAAATACTATTGTTGCTATGCGTCATAACCTCATCCATATACTTGTTTACATCCGCGCTTGCATATGACACCACATAGCCGTATGCTTGTACATCTCAGTCTTGCATTTGATTCCACTCAAATGTATACTGGAACATCTCATGCTGGATGTTGGCCCCTCATAACCGTATATGTGTACATCTCACATTTGGGACTCGCTTGCAAGTAGCACCACGTAAGGGAATTGTCAATCAAGTGAACTCTACCTGTTGTACATCTCACATTTGGGACTCACTTGCAAGTAGCACCACATAAGGGAATTGTCGATCACGTGAACTCCTACCTGTTGTATCTCAGGATGTGTAGCTCTATTCTGTTCTTCTCTTTTTTGTTCTTGTCTTTTTTTGTTTTCTCTTTGTTGTCTCACTCTGTTTTTCAAAGGTGGGTCGGGCTTGATGTATGGTCATCCAACTGGCTGCTCCCAGTTATTTTTATTGTGAGTCTATACAGATTCGAACTCAGCTCTGCTTATCAACAGTATATGGGTGTAGCCACATTGGCCGAGTATTATACCTAGCTCCTGCAGACAGACATGTATGCGATGAAACAGGGGGCACTTCAGCGATTCATTGGGAGGTGGTTAGTGTGTGTTCCTATATTTTACCGGGCAGCTCTGTTTGACTATATATATTGAAACTCCGACGAAACAGTTTGTCACAGCCCCTCGTTTGTTGTCCTCTTCTCTCTCTCTGCCTACGGTTTACCGGGCAGGCCCTCGTTTGTTGTCCTCTTCTCTCTCTCTGCCTACGGTTTGCCGGGCAGTTCTGTTTGTGACGATATATATGTATGTCTGTATATAATTATGCGTACAATATACAAGAGATCGTTGACTGGAGGTCAAAAGTTTGTACAGTCTTTGGAACACTAGAGAATGTGTTGGCCTGCACTTTCCAGCAATCTGTGTGTTGGAACATTGGGTAAAATTGGAATTGGAACGCTACAGAGAAGATTAATGTGCTCTCTGCTCAAGGATGGTGCACATGAATTGAGAAATGGATAAAACAAAAATCAAAATCAAGATAAAAGGACGAACAAACAGGAGAGAAAAAAAAAAGAAAAGAAAATGGATGTGCTGTCCAACGTCTTTGTTGTTGTCGTTATTTCAGCTTTTATGTGTTTTAATTTTCCAAACACCCTCTCCCCTATCTCAGAAGTGTATTGTATGGGACAGGAAGTGAGCTTGAGTGCAAGAGAATGGTTTCTGGACTGGGAAAAGGATATACTCTGGAACCAGGACTGCATATGGGATCAAGGTTTCTCCCCCTCCCCCCTCCCTTTTGGTGTGACCTTCACACCATGGGCATCAGGTTTAGGGTGAGACTTTTTGTGGATCTGAGCAACTGTCACCTGTACTATGTGGGGAATCTGGGGATGGAGCGTTTGAGGATGGTTCTTAGACTGTCTCTGCTAAAGCATCTCATTTTCTATTCCTCACACGCCTTGTCTGGGTGTGAGGGCTGGAACCCATTTTTAGGGTCTACACTTACTAGCATTATCTCAAACGTATCTGACTGCATTTATGACTGGGCCTGTATGTACCTGGTCGCAGTGCCGGCCAGAGATTGGTGAAGTGTGAATATGCCGTTACTCTGGAGTTCGACTGCACGCTATGGCATTGTAGTATCATCCTACAGACAGTCACCAAACGAAGAAATAAAAAGGAAAAGATTCAAAAGAACCAAAAAAGCATGGCTACACCGGACATGGACCCGCTCAGTCAATGTCCGGATTCCGGACGCAGGTCCGGAACTTTCCGGACGTCCGGAGTTCCGGACACATCCGAACTTCCGGACATTGGCTGTTTCGGACAGTCCGGACTTCCAGGCAGGTCCGGAAAAGTCCGGAATGTAAAAAAACTTGTTTTTTTTTTTTGTCAGAAAAAGGGCGACAGCCTTCAGAAATCATCATCGAACTGACTGGCCCCATGCAGATTCAGAGTCATTGTACTAGTTTGATTCCATCTGGATTCGAATTCAGGTCTGCTTATCAACAGATCATGGGTATACCGTACAGCATCACGGGCTGGGTAGTAGTAGTACACACTTGTCGTAGTTTCAAAGTACACACTGTTAGTTTAACATACTCATTGTATTACAAACTTGCAAAGAAAAAGAAAACGACGTACCTCCACGCCTCGACCGCGTCATACCTGCGAGCACACACATAAACAACACAAAAGAGACGCTGGTCTTCGACAATTGCAAGTGAAAAACAAGAAAGTTAAAAAAGAGAGAAAATTGAGAAAATGATTAAAATTTAAATTCATAGAACCCGCAGAGTGCGGTCCCGAAGACTGAACTTTGGGACTTCCTTACACATAACTTCATAACAGCTCACATAACTTACTCTCTCTCTCTCTCTCTCTTCTTGCTCTAATCTTTGCGTTTTTTTTTTGCAAGCGGTTCATAGTCAGAATCAGCAACCGATGATTCTGAAGATTCGTCTGTGCTGCTGTCCTCCCGCTCTTCGGCTTCGGGGCTGCCCTTCCGAGATGTTTCACCCTCTGCCTCGGGGCGGGTGGCCTCCACTTGCATCTCCTCTCCCGGCAAGGCCTTCCGCGGTCGCCCTCGAGGCCTCTTCGCAGCAACCTCAACAACAGCATCCTGGTCGCTCCCCTGCTCACATGCCTCTCCATCTTCCACCATCGCCACCACGTCCGCTGCAGCATCCTGCACCTGTGCCACCTTCCGCGGTCGCCCTCGAGGCCTATTCGAGGGCGCCTTCACATTTGGTGCACACGCTTCAGCTCTCGCAATGATATACTTCTCAGCATGCTCGTGAGTGACAGTCTTGCTCGCACATTGAGATTCCTCCAAATGCAACCGGGCGAGGTACTTGGAAGGCCGTATGGCCTTCCTCCATGAAGGCAGGTCCTTGTTGAACTCCCTTTCGAGCTCAAGCAAGCTGCTGCTGGCCCGCTGGCGTGCAATGGGTTTGTCATGGCGACGTTCTCAACGCCACCATCATTGGCGTCGTCATCTTCTCCCTTGCCATCCTCTCCCTCCTCCCTATCCCTGCGCAGCTTGGCTTTCCACTCCTCCACCCTCTTCTTTGCCTCCTCACACAAGCTCCGGTGTCAAGTCCCCAACCCCGTTCCTCCATGGCTTCTTCTTCTTCGCCGCCTCCTTTTCATCAGGCTTCTTCTCTAGATTGTCCAACAGATGCTGGTTCCATCTGTTGTACACCAATCTGCTCAATTGTTCGACACCAAGGCTGTTCCGTGGTTTGGTGTGAATTCTTTCGAAGAGACTCCAGTTCCGCTCGCACCCCGAGGCAGAGGACCCCTGTCCAAGCAAACGGATCGCCTGGCGTTGCAAGTTCGGCATGTCGCTGCACCACTTCCTCCACCATCTCGCTGGCTGGCCTTTGGACACGTCTGCAAGGGCTCTCTCACTTCTGAACTTCCCCGTCCCTTCAATCCAGCAATTTACTTCCTCGTCCAACTCCCGGTACGCTGAAGGCTTCGCCCAAGAGTACAGCCATGTCCAGAATCCATCCATTACCTCTGGATCCTTGTCCAGGCTAGAGTCCCTGAACTCAGGATCGAGAAACATCGCTGCGCAATGCAGCGGAGAAGTCATCGTGTCCCACCTCCGCATGATGATCTCCTCGAGGTCCCCCTTTTCCACTTCTGTGAAACAGTCCTGCTTCCGTAAGCTCTCCACAACCTCGTCCATGTGCCCGTAGATCTTGCTGATCGTTGGGCCGACTCCGTCACTCAACCTCAACAAGTCGAGGAGTTGTGGGGACGTCTTCTGCACCTTCTCCACTCCCGCGCAGACATCATTGTCCAAGATGGTCGCTGTTGCAGAGTGAAACAAGTGACGCTGCCCTGGAAGCACGATGCTTTCCTTCCAATCCTTGTCCGTCAAACATGTTCGCAGCGGCAGATACAAGTCTTGCATGCTGTCTAACATGATGAAGTTTGTGGCGAATCGAGTCGCCCCGGGCCTCGCAAGAATTGCTCCACGAGATTCGACAAAAAGGAAGTCTCTGACCTTTGTGTGGTTCATAAAAATTTTCACCAGCTCTGCTGCCTTCTTGAGCACCATGTCCACCCAACCGATCTTCTCGAATTGTTCGAAAATCAGGTCAATGATGTGTGCTGTGCACAGGACTGATAAGATGTGCTTGAACTCAGCTTTGACCATCCGCCCCGCAGCTGCGCAGGTGGCAGCATTATCCATCACCACCCGTACGACTGACTCCTCCCCGATCTCGCGGATAACCCTCGCCAAAATGTTGAAGTATGCCTTCGCCCCTTTGTCCCGACGCTGCATGCAAACAGCCCGCCAAAAGACGATGCCTTCGGGGAAGGAGACCACATGCAAACAGCCCGCCAAAAGACGATGCTTTTGGGGAAGGAGACCTTGACGTTCAAGAACGGTCTTCCTCGTCTATTGGTCCAACCGTCAAGTTGCAACATGCAACCGCTGACGGGCCACTGCTTCCTCAGGCGCTCCATCCTCTCCGACACCCGCTTTCTCGTAACAGCCTCCCTTTTTGTTCGCACATCATCAAATCTCGCGTACTGGAAGGACTTAGGGGCGTCCATCAACTTCTTCACCATTCAGTCCCAGTACACGCTCCGCATCATGTTGAACGGTATGCACTCGGCAGTCGTCCAGTCGTCCACCGAATGTTGGGTTTCCTCGTT